AGTTGTAGACAAAGAGTAATTAATATTGGGTGTCTGCATTCAGAGATATCAAAGAACTTTCTATTTTTTCATGCATAACATACGACATAAGGGGTCCATGTGCTTAGAAAATCATAGCTGCTGGTTTAGTCTTTCTGATATACTCTCACAGCAGCCTCTGGATAGGGAAAGAATTATTTCATTGATAAAGTGTTCCGGTTACTTTTGGATACTTCTTAGAAAAACACCCAGACTCCCTACTCCTTGAATGATGTTGCAACATTATTCCACAACTCATTTTTCTACCACCTCCATATTCTCCACCTTTCTCTACTTTTCAGATATATTTGTCTTTATACCATTCTTACCCTCCATCCTTCTGCCCCAGAAAAAAAAAGATAAATTATTTCTTTCATGTAGTTCTCTGCTGCAAAGTCTCCATTATTAAATTTCTCCATTGAATGCAACTTTGATACCTGCCAATTCTCTAGTCTCTTACTCCTTTGGAATTTTCTGTCTCAATTTTAACATGTACTGGTCTTGAGGGATATGAATGTCTTCCTTTGGTATCTGTCTGGTGCTGTCTACAGTTGTGTATAAATTTATTATTTTTATTTTCTTATTTTATTTTTAGTGTTTACTACTCAGGGCCCAGAAAATTTCCTGACACTTAGTCAGTAAATACTTAGTGCATAAAAAGGAATAGAAATTCTGATTGGTTTTGTTTGGTACCAATACTGTCGACAAAGAAATATTTTAGGGAATCCTGATGACACCTCTCTATGACGCCCATAGATGTTATGCATCACAATTCCTCACTTAAATGTTCATTAGTTTTACAAACATAGGTAGATAAACCCACGAGTAAATATCAAAGCTTATATACACACGTGAGCTTGTAGATCTACTTGGATATGATAAGAATGAATTATCATTTCATGGTAGATGTGATAGAGCACATACTAAGTTGTGTATTATTAGTAAATAGTGATCTCTGGGCATTCCTGATAAATTGTTTTTATGACAGCTAGCAGACAATGAAATTCTTGGCTGTTCAAGATCCTCATATACAATGACATAATATTTTCATGCAATCTGTTCATATCCTGTTTTCTACTGTAAATCATTAGTTATGTGTGTTTTAGAAGTTAACAGATAATAGCCTTTGATGGGTCCACATAAATGAGTATGTGTGTGTGCTTGTGTGTGTCTGTGTGTGTGTGTGTGTGAGTGTGTGTCTGAATGTAAGTACTTGCATATTCATAAAAGTATAAATGATGAAGAGAAAAGAGCAACTGAAGTCATAACTCTCAAACAGAAATCACATTTTGTGCCTTTAAATTCCACTTGAGTATGACCAGGTTAACCAGTGTCACTGCAAGTTGAAACTCTTGCAAGATTGTAGGAATGAGTGGAGGGGATTAAGTGAGTTTCTTGTTCCTGGGAGATAGACAGATGTTCTGAGTATGGGAAGTACTATACTAGAGAGTTCAAGAAATTCTCACAGCCAGTTTATTTGTGTGATAAATTTGCTTTGCAGATACTTTCACTTTAGAGAAAACAAAAGTAAACTTCAGTTCAAACTGAGTTATGGACTACAAGATTTCAAAGTAATGGAGTCTGAATCTGTGATGGCTCTGAGTGTGTTAGTCAGAGCTTTCACCTACTGATATGACCCTGAGAAAAAGAAGCTGTATGGAATGAGGTTTGTTAAAGCAACAATTCTGGAGGTTTTACTCTGTTATGATTTCCTTCAGTCCTTTGTGTCTATGGTTAGATGGAGGGATGGAACGACCTTGTGGGGCTTTGATCAAGAAGCCAGGGGAGTATTTACTGCATAAACTTGAGGATGAAATTAGATCCCAGAGTCAAAATTAACAAAATCAGAGATGATTCCACAAGAAAGAGCTTCAATCTCTACTTTTCTGTGTCAGTCTGTCTTTTTGTCTGAAAAGATAAGACATTGCTAAAAATAGCTTTCCAAGGCCTGGAAGTAGCCAGAATTCAGTGTTCAAGAGCCTCTTTCACCAAGAGAAGAAGTCACTTGTGTCTGGAATAGAATCTACATTCACCTCTTCAGCACTAAAAATACAGGGACATTTCATAATGCCCAGGTTCTTATTCTATCTGTAATAGTCATATATAGGTATACCCTTCTTTTACTGTAGGTCCTGGGAATCTAAATCTGTGCATCAGATACTTTTTGTCTTTTGTTATCTCTCATATGTGCATCCATAAATTAATACTACCAACAAAATTGTTTAAAATTTTCTTTGGTGACATAACACAGTCATAAGTTTCCCATCACTGAAATGAGAAGTTAAAGTCAGTATTCATTGCTTAGAAATGGAAATATAGTTCCTCTGTGTTGTCTAGGTTTAAATTGAATCCACTTTGATTCACAGCAGAAGGCCAGATGGCAAAAATGCATAAAAGTATGCACATTTTCTGTTCTGGCAATGATATGTCAAGGAATTTATCCTTATTATATATAATGAGTTATGTTCACAATCACCTATATGCACAATTTTTTGTAGCTCTGTCTACAGCATGCCATCTTTATTTATATGCCAAAAGGAGACTGCTCATTGTAAACACCTATATAAACGAATATGTTATGGTTGGTAAAAATCAGTTATTGGTATGCATATGTTGGTGCATTGAAAATGTTATTACATTAATGTATCTAATTAGAGTTTGTGTGTGTGTGTGTGTGTGTGTGTGTGTGTGTGTGTGCACATGCACGTGTGTGTCAGAGAAAGACAGAGACAGACACAGAAAGAGAGAATATGTGCATACAGGAGTCCTACAGAATTTGTGTGGCAAATGTGTTCATGTTAATCATCAGGGGACAGAGACATATACAAGGAAACCCTGACATTCAACCTTGCATGGCAGTTTGTTGGGAGATGCAAGAAAAAAACACAGAGAAGGAAAATTTATTTTATCAGCCTGATAAGCATGGTTGAATCCAACAGGAGTTCCAGAATTGATTTCACAGTGATGAACCTGAGTCATCAAAAATGGTTCCATTTTCTATTCTGAATGTTGTCCTTAATAATAAAAGGAGGCATGTAATCCATTGGAGAAAGATTTTCATTTCAAATAATTAACATTTTTTTGAAAATATTTTTGTTGTTTAAAGGGATAAGTGAAAGTTATCTGGAAAATTCATTTAGGTGGAACAGTATCTTCCCCTGAAGATTCTAGGTTAAACAGTTCAGTGTATCTAATTACTTGTCTTAGACACACACTTACATTTCTGTCTCCATTGTTCCCCAGCCATGCCAAACCTACAAACATTAAGCCCTAGGATAATGAACTTTCTTGAATAGTATTGTAGCCTTTAGTATAAATTAATATTTGTATAAATGATTGACATCTGACACCATTTGGGATTTCTGACCAATACATTAAACTCAAACCTCAGGAGAAGGATGTACATAGATTTCTATGATTATAAGGCCAGCCAATTCTAGACAAGGAGTTTCAGGCCAGCCTGGGCAACACAGAAATTAATTTGTCAAACATGTTTTAGCAGTTTATGAGTGGGAAGTGGAAAAATCTAGATGAATCTTACATTATCTTCTCTGCTCACTTGTCATCTAGAATACGAGCAGGTAATTGTTTTACTTCCTATTACCTCAGATCATACTGCTTTTGCCACTTATCATAATGGGTTTCAATCTCCGGTCAAAAGGAAATCCCTCTTCTAGATCCTTTGTTATGTGTTACATAACAACAGAAAGAAAGCTAACTAATATACTCATAATATCCAATTACTCATTCACTATAAAAACCAGCCTCAGAAGAACATAAAAAGATTTAGCTATGTGTTTTTCTTTTAAAAATGGAATCTTTAGAATTAGGCATTAGTTCCATAGGTATATTTATTTTTAAACATGCATTAAAGCTCTGAGTTTAATGGACAGTATCACACACACACACACACACACACACACACAAACAAACAAACAAGCAAACAAAAAACATGATGAAGCACACCTGTATTTCCAGCACCCAAGAGGTACAAACAAAGTAATCAGAAGTCCAAAGTCATTTTCAGCTATGTAGTAAGTTCAAAGCAAATGTGTACTACCTGATAACCTTCTTCTTAATAAATAATTTATTAAAAGTGTAAATTTACATTTAGAGTCACATTCATTGAAGTCTCTCTTCTTCAGGCAATATAAACTCTGTGAACACAGAGTAACCTCTGCATATCTTGTTTAGTCTCTTTTCCTGGGGCTTCCTTCCTTTGCACTAGACATAACTTGTCACTCTTGTGTTTATGTACTAGGCTACTTGATACCTTCTGATGCTATGCTGCCTTCCCTCTCCCTGAAACTAGTTTCCAACTACCATACTTTGCATGTCTATCTCAAATATTCTATCTTCAAATGATAATTCTCTCAAAAATCTCTTCATTTCTAAAATTATTGAGAATGAGTACTGTTAACTTATGTTTCTGAAGAAACAGAGGCAAGTATAGACTCCACAAACAGGGCCTGAATATCAAAATCAAAACTAATGGCCTACTTTGGACCATACCTCTCTTTAAAGCAAAGTGAGCAAGTTCATACTGCAGCCCATTTTTCATCAAATACCCATTTCTTTGAATGTGTTAGTTAGAGATGTTATTGCTCTGACAAAATACCATTACTAAAACAAACTTTGGAAGGAAAGCTTATAATTCCCAACAGACAATCCATTATTGAGAGAAATCACTACAGAACCCTGGAAGCAGAAACTAAGGCAGAGGACATGAAGGATCACTACTTATTGACTTGCTCTTCCAACATTCCTTAGCTATATTTTCATGTGTTATTCTTATATATCTCAGGTGTAGTACCATAGGATGGGCTCCCAACATCAGTCATTAAGAATTATAAAATCCTTTGAAGACATTTTTAAAATTGTGTTTCCCACTTCTTCAATGACTCTACCTTGTGTCAGGAAAAATATAGCCAAAATATTGTCTTGTGGGTTTCAAGGTACCATGAAGAAGGGAAAGACCTTACCTGGTCTGTTAAGCAGGCGAGATCTCTTGCAGTGGTATGTCACCTCCTGTTCACAGTATTCTGAGCCATCAATCAGAGCCACCAGCTGGTCCATACTGCCACCATAATTTAAGGTCATAGAATAAGGCTTCTCCATATTAAAACCCTGTACTTGAGTCAGCTCTGTGTTGTTGTGCTGAATAGTCATCCAGATCTTATCCTCTGCAAAGACCATAGTGCAAATCAGGAGGAGAAGTTAGAAGTAAAGCCCAAGGAAGTGTATATTAACAGTGGGCAGTCGAAGTACAATGGAGTCTCCACCCAAGATAATGAGATGAAAGCATTCTACTTTTTATAGAAGGACTAGAGACTTTCATATCTTATAGGGTTCTACCTCAGGTTAATAAGAAGTAAATAATCCTAGGAGCTATGCTTATGAATCCTCATTCCACAACTTTTATAATATGTATTTAATGCCCATTATTTATTTAAAATTGACAAATACAGTCTTCCTCCTTATCCATAGGGAGACCTTTCGAAGATTTTCTAAATGATGTAAAAGTCTACAGGTGCTCAACATTCCCATATTAAATGATATAGCATTTCCATATTATATACACTCACTTTAAACTTTAAATTACTCTAACAATACTTTGGATATATAGAAAAAGATAAATGCTATGTAAACAGTTATTATACTCTATTGTGGAAGAAATTTTGACAAGGACAAAATGCCTGTGAAACTTCAGTACAAACACCATACCAGAGGTAATTTCTTAAAAATCTGTTAAGTATCAGATTAAAAACAACAGCTGCAAATAATAAAATTCTTCAAAATCATATATCATTTTCAAGGATGAAGCTATACCATGTAAGCATAAGGATCTGAGTATTAAAACATCAATTGAAAGCCGGGCAGTGGTGGCACACGCCTTTAATCCCAGTTCCTGGGAGGTAGAAGTAGGTGGATTTCTGAGTTCGAGGCCAGCCTGGTCTACAGAGTGAGCTCCAGGTCAGCCAGGGCTACACAGAGAAACCCTGTCTTGAAAAACAAACAAACAAACAAACAAACAAACAGAATGAAACAAACCATGAATTGGCAATCAACGAAATGCTGGACATGCTAACACATGTTTATGATTCTAGTGCTTGTGAAGCAGAGAGAGGTGGACCCCTATATCTTCCTGACCAGAGAGCCTAGCCTACTCAGTGATTCCCAGGCCAAAGAGAGTTCTTGCACTAGAACAAAAGGAGGGTTGAAAAGATGGCTCAGTAATTCAGAGAATGCCCTGCTCTTGCATAAGACCCAAGTTCAGTTCACATAATCCATATTAGGTATTCACAACCATATTTGATTCTATCTTTGAGGTGTGCAATGCTCTCTTCTAGATCCCATAGACATTTGTAATCACATGCACAGATATTTTCCCAATACATACATATAAGTTCTTTTTTTAATCTCCAAAAGAAAAAGAAGGTGAATGACATCAACCAAATGTCAACTCCAGTTATACCCTGGCCTCAAAATAGAGACACATAAACATGCATATGCACATGCACAAACATTTGTGATAGCTATTCTTGCTTGTCAACTTGACTACATCTCAAGTTAACTAAGACAAAAGCAGATGGATACACTTGTAAGGGATTTTTTTAATTAAGTCTTCTGAAGCGGGAATACCCGCCCTGTAATTCAGATATTTTGAGGTGGAAAGATCCACTTTGAATCTGGGCCACCACTTTTGATGGCAGCCTATATAAGATATATGAAAGAAGGAAGATTTTGCTATTTATCTGCCTGTGCTCACTCTTACTGGAAACTCTATTCACTGACATTAGAGCCTACATCTTTGGAATTCTGTATTTTATTGAAAAACAGCTGAGACATCCAGGTTCATGGACTACTGTATTCTTAGAATTTCTGTTACTAGACAGCCATTGTTGGACTATTTGGACCACAGTTTGTAAATCACTCCAATAAATCCTATATTATATATTCTATCAATTTTGTTTCTCTAGAGAAGTCTGAATAATATAAAATTCATATATACACATACATATAAAAATTATCTGGAAATTATTATGCTAAACAAAATCATAGACACCAGGCCCTTTTAATAATAACAAAAAGACAAGACAAGGAAGAACATAAGATATGGGTAAGAGATAAGAATTTGGTATTGAAAGGTAGAGAGATCTGCACTTGAATGCTACTTTTGCCAGTATGAAACACAGACTTGTCATTTCAGTGTTGTAGTGGATTAAAACATGTGCCAGCAAAAACAGGGCAACAATGCCTACCTCACAGGCTGGCAGAAGTGCTGATAATGTGTGGCAGCAATCAAGATGATTAACTTTCAAGACAGGCTAGAGAAGCGTCTCATAACTCAAAACAGTTTTCATTTTCTTCAAAGTCACATGACACATAAACACCTATAGTTCCAGTTCCAGGAAACCCAGTGCTCTCTTTGGCCTCTGAGGAAACTGTACTCACAAGTGCACACACTGACACACAGATGCACAGGAATAAAAATAAAAAAAATAAATGTTAAAGTTGCAAGGCACTCTGTGGAGTATTGTTGGAGACTGTTGTAATAATTGGGGAAAAATTATTTATGCAACTTGACATTTAATTCTATATATCCTCCCAAAGAAAGCACAGGAAGAAACTGGAAGAATTGAAAAGCATTTCCTCTATGAGAAATTTCCTACATAATTACAACATTATTCTTCATAGATTTAAAGAGCAGAAAAGGAACTGAGCAGAGAAGTCATATGGTTTCTTCTCTCTTCCACTCTCTTAGTTTTACAAATGGGGAAATGAAGGCCCATAAAATAGCAATAACCAACAGAATTTCTATTCTAGGGTACTGATAGGAAAATATGCTTAATACAAATGGTATAATCAAATATAAATTGCAAGATTTATTCTTAGAAAGGGAGAAAAGATCTGACTGGTTAGATGTCCTGCAAATTCTTCCCCCCAATTTCTGTGACCTGCAGAAAGTTGCTTCATTTCCCTACATTCAGTCTTAGTATATTAGAAGAAATGTCTATGCTTTGTTTTAATAATTTTCTCAAGATCTTCTTGGCAACCAGTTTCCTATTACCCAATTAAATTATGGTGAGCAACTGTGAACCATCCCAGAAATAGTTTCCCCAGCCAATTAGTTGATAATCATTATATTCCCAGAGAAACAGGTGCTTTGTTTTTTGAAATAAGATTGCACTCTTCTAAAAGTCTAATGAAGAAATTAATTCCATAGAATTATAATTTCTAAAATAAAAGGATGTAAACTCATAATGTTAATATTGTTGAAACAATATTCACCTGAGACCCCAACAATGTTGTTAATGTCAGATAGAGGCACTTTCGCAAATATATTAAAGCTTCATACTCTCTGATGACTCTTGCTTGTGTCAAGTTTATATGAAACTAGTCAGTACAATGTCATTACACACAAATATGATACAGTTAACAAAAGTTATCATTCAACAATAAGATGCTATAGATTGAGAAATAAAAATTAGCAGTTTTGAAGTGGTTTGATGTTTATAAGATGGTTTATATTCATATCTAAAGTATATTGGTGGAGCCATGCTAGAAGATTTCAGACATTTTGCATTAATTTCACAGATATGACAGCCCAAATCACATACCAAAGAGTAAAGACCAAGGAAGAGGTGATTTTCTGAAAACTATAGCTCATTGGTCTGTTTACTTTCAATGCTTTCCTAGCTTATTCTTTCTGACTACTATCTGTCTTTCATATATCTAGCAGTGTTCAAAAATCTATTATCTTCCCATTTTTTATGTTCTATCTTCCTACTTATCATCTATCAGAGTCAATTTCAATTCATGTGTGATAGCTAATTGTAGATAACAAAAACTACAGTCATCTCAGAGACAAACTGATTGGCACAGAAATAGTCTCCTATATTTTAATTTATAGATTAGGTTAACTGAGGAAGGAAAGTCTATTTTAAAGCAAGCATCACAGTTTTGTTGGATAGAATTGTTGATGGTACAATAAGGAGTAGGGGAGCTCAGAACCAATATTCATCTCTCTCTACCTGCTTCCTTCCTACAGATGCAATGTGATGAACTGCCTCAAGCTCCCAGTTCCATGCCTTTGCAGTGATGAACTACATTTTTTTCAATTCTCAACAAAACAAAAGTTTCTTTCCTAAATTTGCTTTTGTTAGGTATCTCATTTACTTAGAAGCAAGAAAATGATTAATACAACATGGCTATTCAAAAGCTGTAAACTCAATTAGATGGTTTATGTTATAAGTTGCCTTTGTCATGATGCATTTATTATGATAATATAAAAGTATGTGATAAAGAAAGAAATCAGAACAGAAAATAGGATATTACTTTGACATATCTGGGTGTGCTTTTTTTTGGAGGAATATGGAAGTCTTTGGAACTTTGGACTAAAAAAGCAATTGAATGCTCAATGGTCTATCCTAATCAGAATTTGGAACACAGTATTGCTGAGAGCAATGTAGACTATGGAGTCCCAGCTGAAGAGGTTGATGGCAACAATAAAAGAAACTGTCCTAAGAACCATCCTTGTCATATTTTGGCAAAGGATGTGACTGCTTTCTGCCTTTTTCTTAAAATTTTCCATGAAGATAAATTAAAAATGTAGTGAACTAATAATGTCATTGGCAGAGGAGATTTCAAGAAAGATTAATATTGGCTCTGTGACATTGTTATAAGTAAAAACACCTAAGCAGCTCTAAGAAAAAAGGGACAAGTCATAAAGAAATAAAAGGTATAGGTTGAAGAGAGAAGAGGCCTTGGGTAATGTAGTGTTGGAGCCAAGGCTTGAGAAAAAAGTCTGCACTGGAATAAAGGAAATATTTCTCATGGAAAGGCCTCACTAACCTAAAATTCCACTTTGTGAAAAGAAAAGGCCTCAGGGCAATGATTCTCAACAAGAGTCCTAACACCTCTGGGGGTCAGTCTTGCACAGGGTCACATATCAGATATCCTGCACATTAGATATTTACATTATGATTTATGGCAGTATCAAAATCAAAGTTATGAAGTAATGAAAGTAATTTTATGATTGGAGATCACCAAAATATGAGACAGCGTATTGAAGGATTACAGCATTAGAAATGCTGTGAACCACTGGGCTAAGGAGTTTTCTGCTCCTAAAATGATACAAGAAATGAAAGGCACTTCAGTGTTATTCAGTGAACTCAGATTC